TTCCCTAAAGAGCCATGTGGGCAATGTCTTGGTTGACATGAAGCTCATTGACATCAAGGACACACTGCCGGTGGGCTTCATCCCCATCCAAGAGACCATGGACACACGTGAGTTGCACTTTCAGGCTTTGGCCAAATCCAGATTTGTAGCATTTGGCCAGCGGAATAAAGTTAATGTTGCCTCTGCTGTTCATTATTGCTATAATAATTTCTGTAATGCTATCAGTACTTAGGGTAATTTACAGAAGCAAAACGTAACATATAAGTCACATATAAAGACACAGTCCTGCTAACTGTTGAAATCAAAAATCCTGGTGCTTGGGTGGGACCTAGGAGAGAATCTACAGCAGGGGTGTTGAACTCATTTGTTATGAGGGCCGGATCTGACATGAATGAGACCTTGTTGGGCCAGGCCATGTGTGTCATAAAATGTAACGCCATGTAGCGTAGATATAAACTTTATAAAGGACACAAACACAAAGTCTTTTTTAACTTAAAATAAAAACATGCTTAAAACATTAGCTCTGTAAGCTGCAAATCTATTTTTGATTTATTGACATTCACCATAGAAATCTCATGCTCAGAGTTCTGAGTCTAGGACCCAGTTTAAAACATGAAATGGCTGAGTGATTAAGAGAGTCTGGTGAAGCAAGCTGTGATGCAGCAGCAGCAGCAGAACTGGAAGCAGGAGATGGCCAGTTCCACTGCAGGCCTGAGGGAAGCCCTCTGGGGGCCTGATCTGGCCCCCGGGCCACATGTTTGACACCCCTGATCTACAGGATAGATCATGGAAGGCAGAGCCAAGAGTCAGGTATAGATGCTTCTAGGCAGCAGAGCCAAGATTGAGACAGAATGGAGCCCAGAAGTGGGTTGGGTTGAACCCAGAAGGAAACACCAGTGTTTCCCCCCTTTTTCTTCTAGTCATTGGAGTGCAGCCCAAAATTGCATTGTGAAGCTTAGGGTTACCAGGTCCTTTTCTTCTGCTGGCAGGGGGTGGGAGTGGGGACCTCCCGGGAGTGGGGTGGCGGGGCAACGTCGTCGGCATGAAGATGTTGCACAGATGTGATGTCAACATGCCGTGGACATTGCCCCTGGCCATGGCTGTTGGGGGCAGGCTGGAGCCCGTGCAATCGGGGGATTCCCCGCTCCCACCTGGAGGCTGGCAACCCTAGTGCAGCTCCCCCAAAAGTTGAGGTGGGTCAGGAATGGCTCTAGCCCTTACTTCAGTGGTAACAAGTCCAAAAACCTCTCTGTTGAGGCAGAAATTTTGTTGTGTGGGGAAGAAGACGGCTGGTAGCCATCATTCTTGTCCTACAATTTAAGCAAGTTCGTCAAAGGAAAGGGAGAGGCTAGGAGAAACAGAGATGGATGTACACAACAAAAGCATAATTTAGATTTTATTCCAGTTGTGTGAAGAGGGCAAAGCCAGAGGCCAGAAGGTGATGGGGGGGGGGTGAGGGGAGAGTAAAAGGTGGCAACACAAAGGTGGTTCTTAACTTTTTTGCTGCGCCCCCCGCAGAGGAAACGGCATTCCGAAAGAAGAGGCTTTGCATTAAGTTCATTCCTCGGGATTCCACAGAAGCGGCCATTTGTGATATCCGAATCCTGGGCCGGGGCAAGCAGGCTCCTCCTCAGTATACGTTCATAGGGTAAGGACCTGTCTCTTCTTTCCCTTAAACCAAAGCTCTCGATGCTTTCCCCCCCCAGATCAGCTTTAGCAGTTAATTGGCACAGCTTTAGAAAAAGGAACTTCAGCTGGGGGAACTTTTGTACCGGAGAAGGGATAAAAATCTACCTTCCTTCTTCTGCTGTGACCCTTTCCCCCCTCCTGGCTCCACTCTGCCAAGGAGAAGCTGTCACTGAGACTTGGAGAAAGTAGGTGCCACTGGGTGTTCTGCCCATATCTTTGTATATTATGTTTCTTCCCAAGCCCTGTTGATGTTGTGAAATAACAAGGCTTTGTTGATAGATTCAGATGGGTAGCCGTGTTGGTCTGAAGCAACAGAACACCGTTTGAGTCCAGTGGCACCTTTAAGACCAACAAAGTTTAATTCTGGGTATAAGCTTTCGTGTGCTTGCACACTCCTCCAGATTGCGTGCACAGGAAATCTTGTACCCAGAATTAAACTTGCTGGTCTTAAAGGTGCCACTGGACTCAGACTTTGTTCTAAGGCTTTGTTGAGTTAGTTACCGTGTGATGGAAAGTTCATGAGATTGGATATCACATATTCATCACAAGCACTGCTTAGACACTGCATTTAAGAGGCTGCTTGCGAACTAGGATTGGGTTCAAGCGTCTCGTCATTGCTGTCCCAACTAGCAGTTCCTCGTTTTGATTTTTCTCTCTCCCTTATGTGGACCAGCAATTCTTTTATTTTGGTGCCGTCTCTCCTTGCATTTTTGAGTGCAAGTGGTGCGTATTAGTATTGTTCATTATACATATAGCTGAAGTACAGGGTGTATATAAATACTGTATAAATTGTGTAGCAAATCTGGACGACATGTATAAATGATGCAAATGAATCTGCAGAGCCATCAGCGCAATGCAGAGTGATGAAGCTATTGACAAAAATATAAACCAGTGTAAAAACAAACAAAACAGAGACCATTTGCTTCCCCCTCTTTCAGACCATAGGAGTCTTATGGGCAACAGGCCTGTCCACTGTCAGACCAGAGGCTCGTGTGCTGGTCCCAGAAGCAGCCAGATGGATTCCCCTAGGAACCTCCCTACACACGTTATAAGGAACAATAATCTTTTGGTAGTTCCACATATCTGTTAATGAAGGGTTTGGTTCTTCATTGTCATAACCACTGATCAAACCTGACACCAGCAATGTAATATTTTTAAAGCCATCTCAACCCCTGGCTGTAACATCTTGTGGCTATGAGTTCCATAAGAAAACCAGAAGAAGAAGAAGAAGAAGAAGAGATTGGATTTATACCCCACCCTTCACTACCCGAAGGAGTCTCAGAGTGGTTTACAATCTCCTTTCCCCTCCCCTCCCCACAACAGACACCCTGTGAGGTAGGTGGGGCTGAGAGAGCTCTTTCCAGAACTGCTCTTTCCAAAATAGCTCTGAGAGAACTTATGACTGACCTAAGGTCACACCAGCAGCTGCGTGTGGAAGAGTGGGGAATCAAACCCGGTTCTCCCAGATTAAAGTCCACACTCCTAACCACTACACCAAACTGGCTCAGGAGTGAGATGTTGATTGTGAGCACTTTACCTGAACTACATGGCTAATGGTTTTGTATGTGTTGCAAAGGGAACTAAACAACATGATCATCTGGTACAGAATGGGGAAGGTCCCAAGAAATCATGAATCATCTCAGCCCACGACGCCTTCTCCACAAGCTCCAGCTACGACACCAGCCGCTAACCTTCCCAGGTAAGGCTTTCTGCTCCAATTCTTTTTTGCCCATTATGGTTTGGGTCTCTTGAGTGTTTCAGTTTGGCTTATCTGCATTCACTATGGAAATGTATATTCAGTTGCAAGTGTCACCACCTGAAACCTGCCATGTAGGCTAGCTTGCTGTTTCGCATTCAGAAATCTTTGAGCACGTCCATAATGGGGAGTGCAGAAGGCCAAGATTGGTCTTTCAGCAGCTGATGTCATAATGACTAGTAACTTAGTAATAAGACAGTTTTTTTCTTTACTGCTCTTCTTAAAGGTAAGTGATATGAGGGGGGCAAAGTGTCCCTAAAAAAGCAATTTCTTTTCTACCCCTCTCAGCTTTTCGGTCGGTCTCTCTTTTCCTGCCTGTGCTGTTAAGTGACACGTGAGTAGAGAGAGTTGCTTGTTCTGTCTCAGACAGCTGGAGCATTCAATCATGGCATACTTCACGTTGATATCCTGCCCCATGCCACAATCTTAGGGGAAGTAGTTAAGGGCAGTTCCTGACACCTCTTTAACCCGGGCTGTGCTTTTTCCCCATGCTTGTGCTATGCAAATTTGGAATTCAATACCAGGTGTAGAATTCACAATTTTTGGAGGGAAGCTCGTAGTCCTTTAGGTATGAAACCACATGAGTGGTAATTGTTGGCAGAGTTTAAATATGCAAAGGAAGTAGAGCACTGACTGTTTAGAGAAAACTAAGTAGGGCTGCGGTCACACAGAGCATTAGCCATGCTACAGAGATGGATGATAGGCGGATTTTCCGGGCACAATCACACCGCAACATCTGGAAAGCGTAGAGCTCCCATGGCTAACCCAAGGCTTCCCGCTGAAGATGCGGCATAAAAAACTAGTACCTCGGAGGTACTAGTTTCTGGAAACTGCGGGGCAAGGGCGGGCGTCCGAGTGCGTTTCCGGTGGTAGTTCGTGGCATCCGGCGCCCGCTCATGTCTCATTGCAAACAGGTTTTTTTCCCCAAGTCTCCACGGGATGCTCACAAGCACCCAACAGCGCATGCGCACACTTCGGTTTAAAAAAAACCCCACAACCCCGTTTGCCACAGTAGTGGCGCCTAGCCATTGCTGCTGTGATCGCGCCGTGCCGCTTCTTTGCCGCGCTGCAGGATTGTCGTGTGATCGGAACCTCCCCCCTAACCACGGGAAGTCGGCGGGACGTGTGATCGGGCGGCCGTGCGTTAGTTTGCTTTGGGGCAAACAGCCACGCTTCCCCCCCACGTTTTCTGGCCCGTGTGACCGGGGCCTAGGTTTATTTGAAGAAGAACAAACTTATAGAACATAGAAGAGAGAGAACCTTAACTGTCTAGCCTAACTACTGTGAGAGGAACAACAAGAAGGAAGCTCTGCAGGAGCAGGAAGTCTCCAGAAGAGCCAATCAGGAGACAGCAAGGACATAATTTGAAATTGTTGGCTATGGCTAACTACCAGTCCTTCAGCTGTCCCCCTGTAGGGTGACCATCAGATCTTCATAAGGCTTCCCCTTGGACCTTGGCTATTCTAACAGTCATGGCAAATACGCTCTTTAAAAAGCCTCCTGAGCTACTGACCATTGCCCTGTCTTGTGACAGTAAATTCTGCAGGTTAATAGGGTACTAAACAAGGAAGTTAGTTTCCGAGGGTAGCCGTGTTGGTCTGCAGTAGATCAGCTATATCTGAGCCCAGTAGCACCTTAGAGACCAACAAGATCTTTCGGGTAAAAGTTTTTGAGAGTCAAAGCTCCCTTCATCCGATACCATGTTAGGTATCTGTTGGTCTCTTGAGGTGCTACTGGGCTCCAGTGTAGCAGTGCAAAGAAGTATTTCTTTTTTGTCATGAATTTTCTGTAAATCAGTTTCATTTGATGTTCCTTGAGTTCCAGTATCAGGAGAAAAGGAGTCTCTCAATCCAGTCTTATTATATTGTTTATACATTTGTGGGCTCTTTCATTTATGGGCTCTTCCTTTGCTCCCTCCTCCTCCCCACCCCTAAAACTGAAAAGCTTCTCTTCAACAAAGACGGTTGGGGGCTCAGAACCGGCTGGCCCTCCCGGGTCCTAAGGATGCTAGGCTGTCGACATCCAGGGCCAGGGCCTTTTCGGTGGCGGCCCCAGCCTGGTAGAATAAGCTCCTGGAGGAGATCAGGGCCCTGCGGGACCTTTTGCAGTTCTGCAGGGCCTGTAAAACGGAGCTCTTCCACCTGGCTTTTGGGAGCCGCCACCACCACCAATGAAGAACACCACCAATGAAGAACACCACCAATGAAGAACATCAGTTAGTTAAATGGGAGGGGGCCCTGGACCCTGAAAATTGCCATCAACAGCCTTAAAGAACAGCGAACCCTGCAGGGATATCCAACTAACATCGAGAGCTGACTGCGAGCAGAGAACATTCTACAGTGGCTGAAACGGCTATATGATTATTAAGAACCACTAGCACTTTATTATGATTTTATATTTGTTTTAACTATAACCAGTGTTCCCTCTAAGCTGAGTTAGTGTGAGCTAGCTCACAGTTTTTTAGGATCCAGCTCACACATTTTTGTCTTAGCTCAGGGAGGATGGCTCCAGAGCAAACTAATTGATGCAGCAGCCAAATCGCTCGCTCACAACTTTAATTCCAGTGGCTCACAAAGTAGAATTTTTGCTCACAAGACTCCACAGCTTAGAGGGAACATTGACTATAACTATGTTTTATTGCAATCATCTGCTTTTATGTGAGCCTCCCTGAGCCAGCTTCGGCCGGGAGGGCGGGGAATTTTTTTTAAATAAATAAATAAATAAATAAAAAGACCAGAACTCTCCATAAAACTAGAGTCAGCTGGCAGCATTTTGAAACATACTCTAATGAAAATTTACAATCAACCCTTCACACAATATCATGTGCAAACAGCCATAAAAAGCAGTAAAACAATAAAAAGGAGATTAAAAAGTAGAGACAAATGCCCAACGGGGGGGGGGGAATTAGCAAAGCATTTGTGTAAACTGGGGGGGGCGGAATCACCTGGTATCTAAACTTTAGTAGGCTACTTGCCAGTTGACCTGTTGAGAGGAGCGCATTCTGCAGTCTAGGTGCCACCCAGAAAAGGCCCTGTGTCTGGTTACCACCCATGTTGCTCCAGTAGCTGGAAGCATGCAAAGCAGGGCCTCTGATGGGGATTTTTAATAGCAGGTAGGTTTGTATGGCAGTCTTTCAAATGCCCTGGTTTCAGACCAGTAAAAGAAACCATTACCTTGGGATCCCGTTCCAGGATACTGTTCTCTGAATAATTCATCACAGTCTTTAGGAGAATGTGGCTTTTCGCGGAGTAGACGTTAGAGTTCACATTTGGTCCCAGCTAGAGCTTAAATGTTCAGATTCCTCTTTAAACAAAACATCTGAGGAATCTTGATGGTTGTTGAAATAGTTCTGAGAATATTTGTGACATTTCCAGAAATGGGTGCTGCTCCAAGCCACTGTTTGTGACTGGATTTTTACCTCCAGAAAACTTCAAAGACAATGTGGAGGTAAAAATCTTCAAAGACAAGCAATACAGCCAAGAAAATTTGATAGACGCCAAAATGAGGAATCCATCATTGCCCTGGACAAGTTTCACATTCCTTGTTTGGTGCAGTGGTTAAGAGCAGCTGACTCTAATCTGGAGAACTGGGTTTGATTCCCCACTCCTCCATATGCAGTCAGCTGGGTGACCCTGGGTCAGTCACAGTTCTTGCAGAGCTGTTCTCTCAAGAACCGTTCTCTCAGAGCTCTCTCAGCCCCACTTACCTCAGCATGTCTGCTGTGGGGAGAGGAAGGGAAGGAGATTATAAGATGCTTTGATGCTCCTCAAGGGCCCCTGCCACACGGGGGAAAAAAGAACGGCCGAAGTGCAGCTTTTTAAAGCCGCACCAAAAGAGACACGCTGCGGCGGGATTAGATAGATCCCCTGAGCCGCCGCGCAGTTGCTCCCCGGCATGATCAGATGCCGGGGGGGGAAGCCACTGCAGGGAGAGTGAGGCAGCCG